AAAACAACAACAGCAGCAACAACAACAAACCAATCGCCTCTGGCCCCGCCGTCCCGAGGTCCGCGAACTGGCTGGCCGTCGCTGCGCGTCCCTCTTCCCCATCGTGGGCGCCAGACGCCGCCGCGTGTCACGTTGCGTCTTCGGGGTACCACGCCTGTCCCAAACATCGGCGCCTTCTCTTGTGCCCGACGCGATTTCGATGCGGACTCGACTCGGATTTGGCGTGGATTCGACGCGGATTCGACGTGGATTCGACGCGGTTTTGATGCGGACTCGACGCGGTTTCGACGTGGATTCGACGCGGCTTCGACGAGCGCGACGTGGTTGCGACGCGGACTCGGCACGGATTCGACGCGGGCAGGGTCGCGACGGGACAGACAAGGCCCGAGGATGCAGCACAACGCGCGCTCGCGCCCTGCGGTGCTGGCGTGCGGGCCTCCTCCTCCCCCTCATTCTCCTCCTCATCCTCCTCCTCCCCCTCCTCCTACTCCTACTCCTCGACCTCTTTCTCCTCCTCCTCCTCCTCCTCCGCCTCCTCCTCCTCCCCCTCCTCCTCCTCCTCGTCCTCGTCCTCGTCCTCTTTCTTCTCCTCCTCCTTCTCCTCCAAGTCCTCGTTCTCTTTCTCGTCCTCTTCCTCCTCCTCCTCCTCCTCGTCCTCGTTCTTCTCCACAATTACACAATATCAATGCTACTCTCCTCTCTCCCCTGGTGACGTCCGGGAAATGACCAGCCCCCTCCGCATACGGTTTTTTTTACACATGATTCCCTGCAAACGAGTTCTCGCTTGGGTGAAAAATGGTGCTCTCGCTGAGGCCAAGGCTTCATTTTCGGGCCACGGCTCGTTCCGAATCGTCCTCCCGCTGCAGCGCTGGCCTACGCCATCGTAAGGGATGGGAGGGAGGGGTAGAAGGTCAGATATGACGCGAGCGCACCCAGCTTGTCCTCCTCCCCCTCCTCCTCCTCCTCCTCCTCCTCCTCCTCCTCCTCCCTCCTTCTCCTCCTCCTTCCTCCTCCTCTCCTCCTCCTTCTCGTCCTCTTTCTCCTCCTTCTCCTCGTCCTCTTTATCCTCCTCCTCCTCCTCCTCTTTCTCCTCTTTCTCCTCCTCCTCCTCCTCCTCCTTCTCCTCCTCCTCCTCCTCCTCCTCCTTCCTCCTCCTCCTCCTCCTCGGCGCCACATGCGGGATCACGGCGCCGTGGTTCTTGCCCGCAGCTCCGGGCGGGTGCTGGCCCCCCCCCCGGGCCGTACCCCGCCGCTCGGCCTTCGCGCGGGAGAAGCTTTCCGCCGGAGTGATCCCTGGCGTGGGCGGGCTCGATGGGCAGGTTTTCCACCACCACCACCATCTGCAGGTCGAGGGAGAAGGGAGGATGAGGTCCTCCTCCTCCTCCTCTCCTCCTCCTCCTTCTCCTCTCCTCCCCTCCTCCTCCTCTCCCCTCCTCCTCCTCTCCCCCTCCTTCTCCTCCTCCTCCTCCTCCTCCTCCTCCTCCTCCCCCTCCTCCTCCTCATCCTCCTCCTTCTCCTCCTGCTCCTCCTCCGCCTCCTCCTCCCCCTCCCTCTCCTGCAATGCTGGGGCCCCCAGAGGGCTGAACGCGCTGCGACAGCAGCGGCTTGCGCGGTCGGGTTCGGCCCCCCCGCGCCCGCCTCGGGCCGCGCGCCAAGTGTGACACTCTTGCCTGGGCTCGCTCCTGCACGTGCTGCCGCGCCGTGCCCCGTGTCCAGGTCCTCTCGGCGCCCGCCCGCGACAGCGTGACCGACGCGGACTCGCTCGGCGGGTCGCTTGGGACGGGGCGGGGCGGAGGAAGAGGAGGGCAGCTGGAGGAGGAGGAGGAGGAGGAGGAGGAGGAGGAGGAGGAGGGAGATGGGGGGGAGAGGGAAGAGGGCAGGACGTTGGCGTAGGAAGGGGAGGAGAAACCACATGAGGAGGCGTAGGCGCAGGGGAGGAGAGGAATGTGAGGACGAGGAGGGAGTAGTAGGAGGGCGAGGTGGTCAGCTGGAGCCAGAGGAGGAGGGGGAGGAGGAGGAGGAGGAGGAGGAGGAGGAGGAGGAGGAGGAGGAGGACCCAGACTTCTGGCGACCCGCAATATTTCAAAGTCGCGCTGGAGATCTCTCGCCGTTCTATAAGGGTTTGGAGGCCGCCTCCAGGCCACGGGGCCGAAGCAAAAGCAGCGTGGTGTATGAAAAGACGGCCCCAAGGGAGGGGTCGGGGGGCGGGGGGCGGGGCGCGACGTCAAAGATCTGGCCGTCGGAGCTCTGGAGCTCTAGGAGGATGAGGGTCTTACGGCGCCTGACGACGTACAGCGCTTGAACACGAGGCGGCCACCTGTTTTGCGAACAGTGAGCGCCCCCTCCCCCCAAGAAAGAGATAACGGCAACAACAGCAAGAACAACAACAACCATTTTAAGACTGTTCGCTCCTATCTGCTCACGTGCCGATCAACACGTATATCCCAAACCCTCGGTACCCGCCCTCGTCGTCTTCGATCGTCCCCCCTTGGGGGTATATCTTCCTTACCTGCCACGTGCAGTTAGTACAGCCCCTAAAGCAAGGGAAGAGAAGACAGGTGGACATGGGAGGGAGAAGAATGGAGCACAAGAGAAGGAGGGGGGCAAGGAGCAGACAACAGGTGGTAAAAAAAAAAACAGATGGGAGATCGGGTGGGCAGACCCATCGCGGGCAGGTCGGGAAGGCGGACCCAGGCGACCAGGTCGAGCAGGCAGGTTGTTGAAGCGTGGGAATCGCGAGGAAGTCTCGAGCGATAGCGCGATTCCCAAGTACATCGCGACAAACGCCACAGCGAGAGCGTGATTCCTCAGCGCCGAGGGCGCATCGTCTGGAGAAGCTGCGAGGGAGTCCCACTCGAAAAGCGCGATCCGTTTACAACAATGAGGAAGTCCCGCGCGAGAGCGCGATTTGCGAATACATTGTGAGGAAGCATGAGGCGGGAGCCGTTGTTGTTGTCGTTGTTGTTGTAAAGGGGGGGGCAACAACACAGTTTGAGCCCCGTGGCTTTCCCTGGTAAGCAGCAGGGTGCGAGCCCGGTGGACGCACTTCAGTTGAAAAATACAATGGTCACCAGAGGGGTGGGGATCAACAATACTGATTCTCCCGTTGTGCAAGTTCAACAACAACAACACCGCCAACAACAACAACATCACCAACAGTACCACCAACAACAACAGCAGCATCAACAATAACATCATCAACAACAACCACAACAGTAACAACACCAGACAGCAACACCAACAACAACAACAACAACAGCAAAACCAACAACGACAACAACAACACCAACATTGGCACCGACAACACCATCAACAACAACAGCAGCAACAGCAACAATACTATTAAGACTGGTTGCTCGTACCTGCACGCGTGTTATTGAACATGATTACCCCAAACCCTCGATACCCACCCTCTTCGTCTTCGATCGCACCCCGTCTATGGGGTTATGTTTCTTCCCTGCCACGTGTAATTGGAGAAGCTCCGTCATCAGATCCTTTGCCTCATCCCCTAAGCCTCAGTCCCAAGTCCTGAGGAGTATTAGAGGCCCAGACCCGCAATTCTCAAATCCGCTAGGGCTTCCCGCGGTTCCCCTGGGTTCCCCCGCGCATTGTCACATGAACTTTTCGGACCCAAGAGGGCCCCAAGACGGGCCGAGAGGGCCTCAAGAGGCACGCGGAGAGATGCGACGGTGCCCCCAGCGGGCCCTGAGACGCCGAACGATCGGCCCAAGACGCCCAAATGGCCCCCAGACGGCCCAAGATGCCGCCAAGACGCCCCAAGAGGCCTCCAACAGGCCTCCCAGGAGGGACCCGAGAAGCCAAAATCGTTGATCCCCAATTGATGTTGGAAGGATTTGGGCGTTCTCGCCTTTTCGGCTTCCCGGCGCTCCCAGACGGCCCAAAAGGCCCCCAAAAGCGCCCCAAGATTGCCCAAGAAGCCCCCAAGACCGCCCCAAAAAAGCCCAAGAGGGCCCCAAAATGGCCCAAGAGGGCGGGTTGATCGCGGGTGGATCGCGGGTGGGTCGCGGGGTGGGTCGCGGGTGGGTCGCGAGTGGGTCGCGGGCGGATCGCGAGTGGGTCGCGGATGGGTCGCGGGGTTGGTCGCGGGTGGATCGCGGGGTGGATCGTGGGCGGGTCGCGGGTGGGTCGCGGATGGGTCGCGGGGTGGGTCGCGTGTGGGTCGCGGGTTGGGTCGCGGGGTGGGTCGCGTGTGGGTCGCAGGGTGGGTCGCGGGGTGGGTCGCGGGGTGGGTCGCGGGGTGGGTCGCGGGGGTGGGTCGCGGGGGTGGGTCGCGGGTGGGACGATGACAACAAACAAACAAACAAACAAACAAACAAACAAACAAACAACAAACAACAAACAACAAACAACAACAACAACAACAACAACAACAACAACAACAACAACAACAACAACAACAACAACAACAACAACAACAACAACATCAACAACATCAACAACAACAACAACCACAACCACAACAACAACAACAACAACAACAACAACAACAACAACAATGCAACAAGCAGAATCCTCACCACGGATCCCCACTTCAGCCACGCACCCAGGGACAATGAATGAGCGTTCGGCCCCCTCGCTCTGATAAAGATTGCCCGCACACTTCCCCAGGACCAGTTTTTCGTCCTGAGTTGTTTTTGTCGCTCCCGAGGCCCGGCGAGGGCCCAGGCCCCAGAAGCCGAAAACCGGCCAAATCCCGCCGCTCCATTTTTTTTGGAGCGCGTCGGATTTTTGGGGCGCGTTTGTTGTCGTGTGCTTGCTTGTCGTTGCCTTCCATCCTCGTCGTCGCCGCGCAGGGCGCTGACGGCCGGGTGCATCGGCGGCGGACCCTCGGAAGGGGTGTGCCTTCCAGGCGCTCCCGGCGTGCCATCTGTAGGGCGACGAGAGCGACGGTTCCACTGGTGCACCGTGTCGACAACGACTCTTCCGAGATGCGCGCGCGCGCGCGCCAGAGGTCTGAGGGCGACGTCGCCGAGCTGGAGATGAAGTCGGACGAGGCTCCTCCCCCTTGGTGTCCTTCTCAGTATTAATTGCATCACTATTCTTTGACACAGTATTATTGTCATCCGTATTAATAAGATTATTGCTGACATTGATCGTATTCGGCTTCCTCCCCCTCATCTCTGCTGAGCCCCACCGCCGTGATGGAGTCACCTGCGTGCACCTCCAATGGTATCCACCCTCTTCACAAAAAGAACTGATGTTAGGTCGGGCACGTCCTTCTACAGGGGGGGTATTCAAGAGTAGTAGCAAAAAGTCTGGTGGCGATGTTTCGTGCTTATTCTGATTCTGACTATGCTTGACTATGTTTTATTGTTTTTCCCAAATCCGCATGCAGGAGGACATACCCGACCTAAGACTAGCTTCTTATCCGGATTTTCTTTTCGACGGCCTCAGGGCCTGGCAAGGGCCCGCCGAGGCCGAGGCCAAAATTCCTCGTCGTGGCTTTCGATCTTTCTCTCACCCCTGCTGCCTCTTGCACCCCGCGTAGGCTGCCGGTCCTGGAGGCTTGAATTCGGCATCGGCCCTGGCCTGTCCTTGGTCGAAGGCCAGCCTTCTCTGGGGCAGTCGTGCTCCACCCCGCTGGGATAGATTGGCCTGAGCCTTGCCTTAATCCGGCGTGGTGCCTCTTGGATCGGGCTTCGTAGTCCGTTCTTGCTCCCACTTGCAAGCGCCGGGGGGTCTGGGACGGTCGGGCACCTTGTGGCAGGTTGCCAGCTCGGCCGGCCTCGCAGCCCCGCGCCTCGGCCATCCCCCCGGCCCCGCACCGCAGCCGTCCTCTCGGCCGCCGCGACATTTCGTCCCAAGTCGGCCTTCGAACCGCCTCGCCCGGACCGCCAGGGCCCCGATGTTCGCCGCAGATCTGCAGACCGCCCTGGGGCTTACAAGCTCCCACGGAGAGTTCGGGTTGACCCAAAAGGGGGTCCAGCGACAAGGGGGTGGTGCAATCGTTCTGGTGCAGTGTATTTGTGGGGTTGCAATACCTCTGGGGCTTGCAATGCATTCCAGGGCGCTCGTGTCTTGCTGGACTTTCGCGTGCAATGCAGCAGTTGCAATACGATGCCACAAAACTCTCCGGCGCGGGACGTCTGCCACACAACGGCCCCACATCTGTCGCACCACCCCCTCGCAGCCAGACCCCCTTTTGTCAGGAGGGAAAAAAACACACAGACACAATTAATCGTCGACCCCCAGGAAAATATAGGAAAATATGGGAAGTGGGGGCGAAGACCAGAACCGAGAAAATATGGGAAAATATGGGGAATCATTTTACTTGTGTGTATTTATTTGTGTGTCCCAGGGCCCCTTCATTTTGGGTGACCCAGAAGATTGCGAAGGCCTTACGGCCGGTGCCGCCGACCCTGAAGACGGCGAAGATGAAAACGAGGGTGAGGAGGAGCAGGAGGAGGAGACGGAGGCAGAGGAGGAGCAAGAGGAGGGGAGCAAGGGGGGAGGAGGAGGAGGAGGAGGAGGAGGAGGAGGAGGAGGAGGAGGAGGAGGAGGACCCCCTTTTGGGTGATCCAGAAGGTTTCTCAGGAGCTGTCCCCCCGCCCCTGTGGCACCCCTCCCTCCCGCCCCCGGCCCCCCCATCGCCCCTCCGCCCGTCGGCCGCGCCCGAGAGCGGCCCCTCGCCGGAGCGGCCCTCTCGGTGCCGGGGGAGGGGCCGGAGAGGGTGCGGAGGGGAAGGACACGCAGACACAGAGGATCGTTGCTCCCCAGGGCGGGGTGGGAGAAGATGGGAACTGGGGGGGGGGAACTTTTTTTTGGGTCGGCGGGGCGAGCGCGGACCTCTTCCGCTAAAAGCTAGGCGGGCTACGCACAGCTTTGATCATGGAGACAGGGCACAGGCGGGCGGGGCCTCAGGCGGCCGGAGTGGGCGGGGCCCGGGGTGCAGGCGGTGCCGAAGAGGGCGGTGCGGGAGGAGATGGGAAGTTTGGGGGGGGGACTTTTTTTTGGTCGGCGGGGCGAGAGCGAGCCTCTTCCGCTAAAAGCTAGGCGGGCTACGCACAGCTTTGATTATGGAGACAGGGCACAGGCGGGCGGGGCCTCAGGCGGCCGGAGTGGGCGGGGCCCGGGGTGCAGGCGGTGCCGAAGAGGGGGGGGGAACACGAGCACCAAGAGAAACACGGGGGAGATGTGGTGAGTCCTGGGATGGGTGGGGGCTTCTCTGCGCACCCCGCGGCCCCATGCGCACCAGAGAGCGACCCTTCTCGCCGCCCGAGTGGCCTCTGGTTGCGCGGGTTTCGAGGGGCGCAGGAGGGCTCGAGTGCGGGATGGACTACAGAACTGCTGTACCCCAAAACTGATTTTCTCGTCGGAGGTACAGGCAAATACGTAGAATGCTCGTAGATCTAGGAGCACTATACGCATTTTTCGCAGATTGGACAAACAAATCAATTCTGCGCGTAGCCCGCCCGACCCTTGACGCTGCTGGCGTGCTCGCCTGCGGCCGCGACAAAAAGTATCCCCACCAGCCCATCCAGAAACGATGTCCAGGCGAGTTGAGAGGTCATCAGGAAAGTGCGGGAGCAAAGAGGGGGACGGCCGAACCGTGTGAAGGAGAGAGGGGGCGAAGGAGAAAATTTGATGGATGGATCAGGGAGTGGGGAGAAGGAGGATGAAGAGGATGAGGAGGAGGAGGAGGAGGAGGAGGAGGAGGAGGCGGAGGGGGAGGAGGAGGATGAGAAGGGATAGGAGGAGGAAGGAGGAGGAGGAGAGCAAGCAGAAGGGCCAGAGGTCTCTTGGATGCTTCTCGGAGCCTCTTGGGGTATCTCTTGGGCGTCTTGGGACGTCTTGGGGGTCTCTTGGCGGTCGTGGGGGGCTCTTCGGCGTCTTGGGTGTCTCGGGGTGGCCTCTTGGGGCCGCTTGGGATCCTTTTGGGGGCCTCCTGGGGGCCTCTTGGGGGCCTCTTGGGGCCATCTTGGGGCCATCTTTGGACCTCTTGGGGCCTCCTGCGCACGCACGCGCTGTTTCGCCGCAGCTCTTCTTGACACCTGAGTTGCTGCGGGGATGCACGGCGAGCGATGCAAGCAGAATGCGGCGGCGAGGCAGGGAGGCGAAGAGACAGAGGGGGAGGGGCAGGAGCGAAGGAGGCGGAGAGAGCAAGGCAGAGGGACCAACGCCTCCCTACCGCCCCCTCCGGCACACTCGACAGTGTCACGGACACGCTGCGGCATGCTCCCCAGACTGGCCCACCAGCGGGTCACGACGGGGGTGCGAGGGCACAGTCTGGGACCCTTGGGGCCGCGGATTGAAAAAAAACATCTCGGCGGATGTCTGGGGAGGGGGTTCGGACGAGTGAGCGCGGGCGCTGCGGTGGCGCCGGGGCCAACTCAAGCGGGGGGGGCCACGATTATGCCCGCCCACCCCCTCCCCCCTCTCGGCCCACCACCCGTCCCCTTGGCATCGCTCGGGCGTGCGCAGTTCTTCTTGGTCGAGGCCAGCGCCACAGAGACCTGGGCCATCCAGGAGCGCATTGGGTCCTCCATCGGGTTCAAGCACGCGCGAGACCGAAGAATGCACAGGGGACGGGCGCCCGAGCGATGGCAAGTCCCACAATGCGCGTCATCGCCGTGAGTGAGAAAAAACACTCTTTTGCACCTCGGGGCGGCCCCCTTCGTCGTCGTCGTCCTCGTCCTCGTCCTCGTCCTCACCGTCGTCGTCGTCGTCGTCGTCGTCGTCGTCGTCGTCGTCGTCGTCGTCGTCGTCGTCGCCGCGTGGCCGAGCCCAGAAGCGGCGCGGCCCGAGGAGGACGAGCTGGGCGCAGAGGAGGAGGCCACCTTCGACTACGCGGACGGCGCCTGCCGCCGCCCCGGGCGTGCCGCGGCCACGCGGCGTTCGGGGGGGGCAGGATCTCAGATGTTCTCGATTCGTCGAAGAGGAGGAGGAGGAGCAGGAGGAGGAAGAGGAGGTGGGAGGAGGAGGAGGAGGAGGTGGGAGGAGGAGGAGGAGGAGAGGAGAAGGAGGAGGAGGAGGAGGGAGGAGGAGGGAGGAACGAGGAGGGAGGGGGAGGAGGGAGGAGAGGAGGGGGAGGGAGGGAGGGAGGAGGGAGGAGGGAGGAGAGAGGGAGGAAGAGGGGGAGGAGGAGGAGGAGCAGGAGCAGGAGCAGAGGAGGAGGAGAAGGAGGAGGAGGAGGAGAGAGGAGGGAGGAGGTGGAGGAGGAGCGAGGAGGAGGGAGGAGGAGGAGGGAGAAGGAGGAGGAGGAGGAGGAGGAGGAGGAGGAGGAGGAGGAGGAGGGAGGAGGAGGAGGAGGAGGAGCGAGGAGGAGGAGGAGGAAGAGGAGGAGGGAGGAGGTGGAGGAGGAGGAGGAGGAGGAGGAGGTCCTCGTCCTGACTTCGTCTTCTCGGGACGATCGACATGGGTACGGAAGGAGTTGGCACGATGCCCAGCAGCAGTTCCTGTCCGTTCTGAGCAGGGCGCGCTGTTCGCGCCGCCGCGGGCGCTGCCCTCGGAAGGCAAAAAGTCGCCTGTCCAGCAGCAGCCGCTGTCGGTCTTGGGCAACATGTGTTGTTGGGCATGGTGCCCATTTTATCCGCACCCCTCTCGGGCGTACGAATCTGTCCCTCGGCGGTGCGCACGAGGGGGAATGCAGAACAAAACGGCATAAACATAGACTTGTGGCGCTCCGCGCGGATTTCTTGGATCGGCGCTGGGGCCCCCCTGGCGGCGCCTCCGCCGCCGCTCCTGAGGGACGAGGCTCCAGCGCAGATCCAAGAAACCATCGCGGGGCGCCCAAAGTTTCTGTCTGTGGCGTTTGCCCTTCTTCGATGCTCCTCCCTCGACTCTGCCCTTGTCCTGGCCTCGTCTCACCCTCGGCGGTGCGCAGCCCCTCTCGCGCCAGCCCTCCTCGGGGACAGCGACAGGAGGGGCGACAGGCTCGGGGGAGGGGGAGGAGGAGGAGGAGAAGGGAGGAGGTGGGAGGAGGAGGAGGAGGAGGAGGAGGAGGAGGAGGAGGAGGAGGAGGGCACGAGGCGGCGCAGAAGCGTCTCGAAGTGAAGCACTGCGCGGCTGGGGCGGGCGAGTCCAGCCGGGGGTCCCTGCGCCCCGCTGGAGCATCGGCCCCAGGGGCAACGACAGGTTAGGCGCTCGTTTGGGGGACTTCCTGAGGCACACCAAAAACGGATCTGTTCGACCCCAGTTCGACCCCAGTTCGACTCAGGTTCGACGCAGCTTCGACTCAAGGTCGACTCAAATCGACGGACGTTCGACGCAGCTTCGACGCACGAGTGGAGCGAGTGTCTCTGGGAAGGTCCCCAGAAGGAGCATCCAAGACAGGGGGGGGGGGGCGACGGGCTCGGGGGGGGGATGCATCGGCCCCACGGGCAACGTTAGAGGGGGACACACGCTCGGCGCCCGGGGGTTTTCGGGTGATTTCGTCGGCCCTCGGCGGCGTTCCGGCGTCGGGGTGCGCTCCAGCGGCTGTGCTTCGCCGAGAGCGTTCCGGGGATCGACCCCCGGTCGCCCATTCATCGCCGATGGGGGTCTGGCAGCCCCACCCCGCCAAGGACCGTGCGGATACGCAGTCGGAGGCCTACATCCAGCACCCCCATCGCTGCTCCTTTAGGAAGGGGAGGGATGAGAAAAAAGGAATCTACACCTCAGGGCGGCTTCTGAGAAGCCCCCATGCGGGCGGGCGACAACAGAAGAGCACGGGGTCGACTGCGCCGACATGCGCGCGTAAGCTGCCCGCGTAAGGTCGCGCGTGATCGCCCTCGTCTCCGATGTAGCGTGCCGCACCAGCGGCCCGCGCAATGCCGCCGCGTAATGGTAGGGCCTTACTTACCGACACTGCTAGGCGAAACTCCAACCGACGGTTTCCCCTGCTATTCGGGGGGACACACACACTCACCGCCAAGTGGCGTTGGATTTTTTGTAATAGAGCCACAACGCATCAACATTGATATGGCAACATAATGTAACAGTAGCATAACATCATCTGCAACAACAATGCACACACTCATTATGACGTCGCCTTCGTTCACGTCCCCCCAAACAAAACCACGCATCAATAACATTTGCAGGAGTTGCGTTGCACGTGTGAGATACGCAAGAGAGGCGTCGTTTGAAGGTCCTCGCATTGATTGCAATGCATTGCGAATGTATCTTGGGGGCCTTCCGTGTCTGCACCTGCAACGTTTTCTTCCGTTTCTATAGCCATTTTGGTTTCAGCATGGACGTCGATTCTGTGCACGAGGAACCGCCACAAGCGCCCATTGCGGCCGACAGTGATTCAATCGATGGGGATCCCGAGAATGCTAGGCGAAATTCCTCACGGTCTGGCCGCCCACGAGGTGAGTTGGAAAATTTCGGCATGATCACGTTGTACATGATATGTGCGACTGCGGCTGTGGCAGGTTTCACGGCGGTTGAGCGTTTGCAGTGCCAATGCGATGATCTGGTCTTGACTTATGTTGGAATAGGTGTGTGGGAAATTCTGTCGGCCAGCGATGTTGCAGGCAACATTGGCAAGTTCAACGGCAACGCTAGATTCAAATATTTCATCGCCGCTTCTTTTCAGCGGCCATCGCGAAACAAATTTGTTGGGACTGTGGGTTATCAGTTGACGGATGTGGCTTCGCTTGTACATGAATTGCGTGTGCCCCACGGCTGCATTGATCTGTTTAGTTTTGTGTGTGACAAATTGGTTCACAATCCAATTGATGGTGGGACGGCTTGCTTCAGAGACGTATTGAGCATGTGGTCTGATCTTGTTGCTTATCGTCCGTCTGTATGGACATGCCAGACAGTATACGTTGGAACAGAATTTGCAAAATTGATCGTGCCTGGCTGGCCCTACTTGAAATTAATTCCGCTTGCACCTGGGCTAAGCATCAAACATCATATATTCTTGATGGGCCCTGCGATGTCAACCGTCAAAAAAACACATGGGTGCAATGCGTGATTTCTCTTCTGCTGTTGTGCGCATAACGACTGGAGATAGTGAGCAAGAACATGTTGTCGGCCCGAGGGGTGCTCGACGTGGATTGGAATCATTCCCAGTGGAAGTCATTATTGATTACCTCGATGCGACGCGATACTTGAAAGGTCTGCGACTGGCTGACAGATGCAAAAGGGCCTGGGCCAAAGTTCTTGCTCGGCACGACCAGTCCACGGGCGACGAGTTGGTCAGGCGAAGCGCGTGCATCAGTTATGACGTTTTGAGGCGTGGACGCTGGAGACTCGATGTTGTCTGTATGTTGTTGTTGCGACGGTGGTTTCAAACCAATATGGGGCTGGCGCATTTTTATCTTTATACTGACGGATCACCCCAATGGAGGGGAGTAGAGCTTTTCGCCACCACCGTTGACTGTGTTGGTAGACTTTCGGGCGAATGGATTCGTTTTCGGTACTTCTTGCCAGTCATCCGCATTGGTTTTCAGCACCTCACCCTGTACGGAAAGCTGTATGCGTTGCTATGGAAGTTTGTGCTGTGTGTGGGTCCGTCATTTGTATCGCTCAGGCAGATGTTGGCACGGGTCGTATCGGTGACATCGGATATGGGCACTGGGAGGTTGTTCGGCAATGCGAAAGACATCTTGCCAGCATTCTGCAAGCACGTAGGCGTGGCAGTACCGCGAGGCATGCCAAAGCAGACACGTTTGTCCCCATATGCAGTGCAAGCGCCAGGTTGGACGCGCATCTTCGACACGCTCATTAGGAGGGCTTTGTGTAGCATGGACTGGTTCCCGCGATGGTTGGACGGCATCAAAAGCGTACTCACTTTCTTGCGGCAATACAGCGTTGAGATCGTCAGGAACTTCAGGGGGGCCGGTTTGTCAGCGGTCGCTGAGATCGTGGACGCGTCATCGTTACCATACTTCGCGCAGTGGCGGTGGGGCACGCTCCACAACCTGCGCAGATCTCTCAAGGGAGTCATCGGCATATTGCAGAGACATTGGGGACACATGTCGTTCCTCAAGAAAGTCAGGGACACTTCGTTGATCAGGAGGGTTCGACGGGCGATGGATGACCAACGATGGGTGGATCTCTTTTCGTTCACTGCGTGGCTCGTGGAGTGGTTGACTCATTTGCAGTCGTGGGGCGGGAGCTGCATTTGTCGCCAGGCCGATTACGAGCTTGGGAACCCAGTCGACTGCAAGAGAATGGGCAGACTTCTTCCTTACGCCTACGGCAAGGCGCAATCTTCGTTCCAGGACCGCTCGTGCTGCCGCTGCCACGACGTATGCGATCTCCTTCGCCTTTGTCTTCTCCCCCCCGTTTTCCCGCTTTTGCTTCTCATCATCCTCTGTCCTCGTTCTCTGATTCATCTTTCCCCGCTTTGCATCCCACGCAGTGCCCGTTCTCATCTTCGCCTGGGGGAGGGGGCAAGGGCATCTAATGTCGTTGACGTCGTGGATGTGTCAATCGACCAGTGCCAGCGTGATCGAAAACAGCGTTTCAAACATCTTTAACGGGGGGGGCGTCGCCAAGGGAACCTCGGAGTAGGTATGCAATCTTGAAGTTTTCCATGATGTTGTTTCAAACCAGGTCGAGCAGAACTCCGAGGGGTAAGGTTTTTCAAATCAAGCGCCCCCCCACCCCCTCCATGCGCTGTTTCCGGCATGCGCGAGCAGTCGCGATAGTAGCAGCACGTCCCAGGAGGCATTGAAGGAGGCTGAGGCTTGGACAACGTCCACCTTCGGGGGTGATCAGTCTTTGCTTCAGCAGTGCACGGGATCTGTTCGCATGGTCTGCGCACTCGGGATCAGGAAGCTCGATAACATGAATACGGCGCCATATTTGTTTTCTCGCCTTGGGGGGCCTGGGGTCAAGAAGTTGGCGTTGAGACAGTTTGAATCGACA